CGACGATAAAGTGACCTTGGGAGTGTCTGCCTACTTACTAGGGCTAAATGAGGGTTATAAAGCAGGTTGAAGAATAAAGATTATGATTTACAGTTGATGGTTAGGGTTAGGAATTAGATTTAAGGTTTTCATCACGAACTGACATTAGCTATAATGCCAAGACTCTATTTAACCAAATGGGTGAGTGAATTTCGCGCCAAAATCTAAGACCTATTATCGTAACTCTGATTGATTCGTCCATAAATTATAGTCTCGCCGAAAATATTTGTTTTTAGTGGTACGAAGTTTTCTCAACTGGATGGTTTAATCTTCATCTTCTCACAACTTTCTTTAATTTTTATAAGTTGGATACAGAGTGGGAAATAAATTGTGGGATGAAGTTAAAATAACATATTATTTATTATATGACACACTAAGAAGCTTAAAGGGAATGAATAATGAAATGATGTATTATCCAAGGTAATGTTGATGATACTTTTAATATTTGTAATGGTCAACAACGAAAAACACCCGTTGAACCTTTTTAACGGCGTTCGTAAAAATGTTGAATTTACTGGGGAACAGGAAAAGGATAATAAGCTCCACCTTCTCAAGGGTATGGTGGTGGTACCGTTCAACGTTCAGTTTATCAAAAAAATATGTGGAACGGCGTTTATTTGAATGTTAATAGTTTTTAACCAATTATTTACAAAAAGGTACTTTTCAAAATACTTTCACAGAATGGTAAGGGTATGTACCACTGATACACTAAAAGTAGAAACAATGAATGTGAAGGAATACTTAAGGAAAAAATGGGTCTTCAAAGAAATTTATTAATGAGAAATGAGAAAACAAAAGTCCTGAAAAAAATCAAATTAGACAAAAAAACTATATTCATTTAACATGGATTTAAAGGCGACGATGTTGGATTGACAATAAACAGAAAATTCAAAACCACACTGACCAGAATTTATCCTACAGTTAAACTGATTATCTTTTATAGGAAATTGTATTTTTTACTCTAATCAAAGATCGATAGGTACCTCTTTCATTTTACTGCCAACTGTGCATAAAAATTTACATATCTATGCCAAAGCAGTTACATTAATAGAACAAAAAGAAGGGCCTACGTTCGATTCCAAGAACATATCCCAAAAAGGCTCAGGTCACTGGGATTGAAGCCTTTAACAGTGTAATTTCAAAACATCTATGTAATATGTGACATCAAGTTGATGGACTGAAATCTTTCAACATTCATTAATCGACAGTCGAACTCTATTCTTTTGAAATTCCCCGAAGCTATCAAGCGACTCAAGCTGGACTCCTATACCCAAAAGGAAACAGTTGCAAATTTTTCCTTACCATCGTGACTTTACCATCAGTTTTTTTACACCATTCTTACAATTTAACTCAATTAAATAACTTCTTTCGAATTCAGAATCTTTGTTTCTAACTACCTGATCTCGACTCATGCTATTCTTAATTGTTATAACTGTGTGTTCAATGAATCCATTACATAATCAATAAATTATTTTATCTCTGTGATCTCTTGTTACTATGACTGATGATCCAGAAGAACAAAGAACTGAACAGAATAACACGAATTCACTTTATTTCGTTTAGTTCTTTGTTCTTCCACTCTGTGAGATTAACTACAGGTTGAATCAATAAGAGATCTAAATATTCTGGGTGTGGTTATTTAGAAGTTATTAGTTACTAAAACCGAGACGAAGATCATCGTTTATCATTCTGAAATCCAATAATCTACATGTTTAATCTTTTAAAAAATACACCTAGAATGGAAATCACACCATGGAATTGCTGACATTTTTAACTTCAACTTCCAAGATATGCTGTATTTCCAAATGATTTGACTAACCATGTGTAAAAGCATCCATTTTTTTAAATCAAAGATTTATCATAAACGACAGCTTACATTGAAACAATACTTTCATGAGCTAAATCACCACTTTAATAATGATTAAGAACAGGTATTTCTTTTAGAATATGTCTTTGTTATGCATGAATAATGTTTTTCAGTATAGGGTTAAGCTAAAAGAAAGCTTGTACACGACGAAAACAACACGTAGGATCAGATCATGAAGTTATTATCTGCTAGACTAAGCCATTTTATTATGTTCAAATTACCCAGTTAGGATCATTGGTTTAATAACCACAACCGATATTTGGAGATGTTAGGTTGACCATGGCTCAGAATCTCAGTCATAACTGCTCGGTTTTAATTTTCCTTATTTTTCTCATTCTAAACTTCGAGTTTCACTATTCCTCCGTATATACGTCTATTCATTGTCTTTTAAAACTATCTTCTTAATGCTCAGTCATTCCCATCATTATTGTCAACACATTTGATCGATTTATCAGCACTTTTATCTTGTTTTTTTAAAAATTTTGTGTGACAACTTGGTCTGAAGCACGTTTATGCGATATTCTATGTTGATTATGACCAACTGACTGACTGACTGACTGACTTCTTTGTATCTTTCCTTTTTAATATCCATTAGATTGTGGAAAAAACTCAGGTATGATTTAATTTGCTTAAACAAAATCAAGCACTGTTAAGACAAATTTACTATAAATCAAAATAATTATTCGAAAATCACAATTGATTGATTACTGGGTGGTGATCAATGCCATATGTGTCAATTCCTTATTTAGACTGGTGGCCACATTGCAACATGGTTGATAGCGTTCGATCTGCACTAAATAAGGACTTGACACACATGACATTGATCACCACTTAGTGATCAATCAATTGTGATTACATCTCAGTCCTACAGGAGGTCAGTTGCGGCCCGGATAGCTCAGTGGTAACGTCTCTGACTGTGAAGCTGGGTGACACGAGATCGAATCCATTAGGGAGCACCAGTTCCCTCAAGATCACAGGCACACCTTGCTGACGAGTGCCAAGTAGCATGAAACCCAGGTCCAGGGTTTCCTGTCGACTACCTCCAACCACCATCTAGTCTCAATTATTCGAAAAACCCAATAGTTGCTACATTGTATAATGTATCAACAGAAAAAACTAACCAAATGGTTTGATGAAAAGTTAGTATTACAGTAGTTATGTAAGAATCAAGAGATGAATATTGAGAATATGTAAAACTAAAGAAGTGGAAGAAATTAGAAAATTAGGCGAGATGAACCAATCAGGTTTAAGATAACGAGTCACGGATTTCGGCGCGAAATTCATGCATACATTTGGCTAAATAAAGTTTTGACACTATGTCAGTTCGTGATGAAAACCCTAAATCTAATTCCTAACCGGAACCATCAACTGTAAATGAGAATTCTAACTGCTTTATAACCCTCATTTAGTTCTAATCAGTAGGTGTCCTTTCTCAAGGTCACTTTGGCGTCGTTCAAAGTCGTCCATAAATTATAGACTTACCGAAAATTATTTCAAATATTATTTAAGGTATGGGTTTAATCAAAGTTCGGCTAAATGCTCACTCTTATATCGATGGTCAAAGTAGCGAGAATAGTTGTACAAACTTCTTTTATTATACGAAGGTTAAGTTTGTGAACATGGATTTCAATAATTTCAACAATGTCCAATGAAAGATCTTGTAAACCATATGGTAACTTTGATGGAATGTGATTCATTTTAGCAAATATCAAAATGGAAATGTAAGCTTTAATAAAGCTTCCATTAATAAACATTTCTTTATTATGATTGTTTTCATTAAACTCATGAACTGATTTAATTTAAACTATGATTGAAAACCTGGAAGCACTGGATGGCCGTGGATGTGCACTGCTATTGAGGAGCCCCATACTGGTATGAAACAGGTGTCTGGTGCTTCCAGGTTTTCAATAGTTATGTAACTTTAATAGGTTCATGATTTCAATGAAATTCAACAATCTCCACAACCCCATACTGAAAATTCAACCTAATTGTTTAAAGCTATTATACTTTTTGTGAAATGTAAAAGTTCGTGATGGGTCAGTTGTTGAGAAGTTCCGATCAAGTCTAAAATAACATCGCATTGTTCTCTATACTTTATTGTGATAAAAAAGAAACGAGATTCTCCTTTCATTATCTCAGTCAATACATAGAGCTCGCTTCAAATAGAGAAAGATTTCTATAAACCGTTCCTTTCCTCCCTACCTACACACCTTAATAGTTCTGTTAGAAATATTGAGTGATAGTTGAATAGTGGTCACTATCATGTTCGTTCAGTTGAATTCTATTAATCAATTAACAATCTGGTCCTTGATCTAAGTGACTTGATATCACATGTAGTATGTTGAAATGTTAGATTGTAGTTAGAGTTAATTATAAAATACCGCGAATCTAGGTTTCGTGCTAGTTATCACCCGTCAGTAAGGCGTACCTGGAATATTTAAGGAACTGTTGCTCTCAGTTTCGCAGTCTGAAACATTACCACTGAACTATTCAGGTAGTGACTAACCTCCTGTAGGATTGAGATATTTACAATGGTTGATCACTGAATATTTATGAACATTGTTATCAATCTATGAATCATTCAGTCCCATTCTATTACTTTATTATTTAACACTGAGTAAGTGCTGTTCATTTCTCATAAATTTATGTGGAATATCAGTATGAGGTTGTGGAGATTACTGAAATTTGATTTAAATCAAAAACCGATCTAAGTTACAAAAACATTGGAAACCTGGAAGCATTGGACGTCCGTTTTCCCCTATTACTGAACTCTTCAGTAGCACATATCGACTACCATCACCACCAGTAATCGAACTCATTATCCAATAATGTATATGTCTAACTTCTATCAATCTGTAATATCACTCAAATATCTTTCAATGTATTTGCCGGATAATTTCCTCAACACTCGACACATTGAGTAATTTATTTTTATGGATAATGTTTAGTACATTCAATATTGTTCTGTCTTTAGTGTCACTATTATTACTATTGTTCCCATTGGTGTAAATTGTTTAAAATGTGTGTTTTGTTTTATTTTTTCACATAACCTCAATGTTGTTATTTTATTTAACATATCTGTTTACCTTTATAGCTTTATATGAGAAAATTCTGATCGGTGAATTAGATCAATTGCATAAATCACTGGAACAACGATGTCTTCTTTCCAACACATTTGATTCAAGTCAATTAATGACAATTTCATGCTCTGAAGACAATGTTAACAGTGGTGTTAGTGGTCGTGAAAATACAAACTCCACGATAATGACACCAGCAATACCAGTAACAACAAACCCCTCATCATCATTATCATCTACAACAATAACTGGTTTGAAAATTGGTAATAATCCAACATTAGGTACCAATTTACCAGCATTAACAACTGATCCTGCTAGAGCATTACTTATTGCTGGACAAGTATGTGATTGGCCAGGTTGTGGAGCTATTCTTGGTCCAGATACATCGTTTATTGAGTAAGTCTTCATTGTTACAAAAAAACTTTCTTTAATGTTAAATTCATCTAGTGAATGAAGAGATGCCTTCAAAGCATTTTACATGGTTGTATTAGGATCATTGAGTTAGACGCAGGGGGTTGATGGTATTAGATGAAGACCGGAAAAACGTTTGCTAAGGTAGTGAGTTTTCTTTAAATGAAACGAGTAGGACATGGATTAGATATGTTTTACTACCCCGTACCTCAAAGCGCAATGTTCGCCAGCGTAAAAGTAAGTTGGAAGAAAGCTAGAACTGACCAAACATCTTATTTGGAGTTCATCACTTGAATATTTACATTGAGAGTTGTGAATCAAACATTTTGCACTTTAAATACCATCGCATTATTCATTGAACTATTGATACAGATGAAAACAATGAATTCTACTGATAATCATTCTTATCTAATATTATTGATATCATTAATAGTTTTAAGGTAAAACTATTCCACTATACTACCTCTGGGTTAAGAAACGAATAAATTGGCATTGTGAAACATAAATTTGCAAGGCTGTGTGCTTAAATATACATTTATATTCCATAAAGGTATTTCTAAGTGTTACGTAATTTGAGGGAGTCTACAGGAATAATCGAATCTTGGTTTCATACTAGTTGGCAATCATCAACATAACATATCTTTAAAATTGAAGGGACTGATACTGTTTGTTGGATTCAAACTTTTTATACAATATCCTGTGGTACTGAGGTGTTTGTATCGACCGTTCACTTAGTAGTAACCTATTGTCTATCTCTTAATAATGACAGAACTGTCCATGTCGATCAAGTTTCAGTGTGGCCTTCAGTTTGAATGATTTATCTTGGGTCTCACTGTGACACTACATTCTAGATTTGAAACTTATCAGATGTTCAGGTTCATTCAGTATTTCAACTATGATTTTCTGACAAACGCTAACACAAAATCTTAGTCCAGGATTTCCCATCCAAAAATTCTTTAAAATATCTATTTTAATTGATGATCCATGGATTATGAAACCATGAGTCACTAAAGGTGATAAAGACAACATAGATCAATTGAAACTGATTCAATAGACCAGTAACTTAGAAGTGGTTAATTTATTTGGCATCCAATCATACGATCCCTAGTCGAAACCCCACCTGATCTACTGTGACTTCAATGGTCTAGTAGTATCCGTTTCCCTCAGGCTTAATATGTGATTCAAAGTCATGTCGATAAACCTGTGTTCGTGAGTGGCTTACATAATAAACCTGTGACTTAAAATAGAAATTTGACGAAGTTATCAATTGTTTTGCTAAAAGTACAGGTATGTGCCAATCAGAATGGAGAACGAAACTTCTGGTTTTTGTGCGGAATTCAGATAAACAATAAAAGTACCTTTTTATACTGGTTAAAACGTTTAAAATCATAAGAAAGAAACTACTTTTTCAACCGTCGAGTAAAGACGATAGTGTTAAATGTATCAAATCCTCAACTCTGTCTTATTTAATTGCATATAATAGGCAATCAGATACTATCTCTAAGTCCTAAACGTAATCCGTTAATCTTGAAGTATACCTTAACCTGATGGCACTACATTTTGTGGACAAACTTGTCAGGCAGGGTCTTTTGGATATTTGAGCGAAATCCATTGATCTAAATTCTTACAGAGCATTTTTACATCATAACTAATGTCAGTTAGTAATGGCAACTCTAACCCTTAAACCCTAATCCGTACCCTGAATACTAATCTCTGACCAAGAACATTTGACGACTCTTAACCATCTATTTAGGTCCTTATAAAGGTTTTAAAAGATGAACAATCTATATTCATAAGGACATACACGTAGAGTAACCTGTAGAAGATACCAATAGTAGACTTATCAATTACGTAAAATTGGTTCAGAATTTGCAATACTGTTGTTTTCTCCACAACCTGTCTATTTGTAAGGATTCACGATTCCGCACCCGGGAATCGAACCGAGAACCTTCGGTGTGTGAACACTTAATATCCAGGTAACTAAGCCTGGATTTAATAATGTACAAATCTAACTTCAATCAGTGTACGATATTGTGTGAACATAATTAATCACTTTTGAATCGTCAGTGTTAAAGCCTATCTTCATTCTATTCTAATTATTTTAAAATAAAAATAGTGTTATAATAAAGATGATGAGTCAATTATTGAGGCTTTGTAACTTGATCAACTAAAATTTCAGGGAAATGTGATCAAGTATGCCCAACCATCACCTATATATATACTGCTGGCTGGTTTAAGTAAGAGTGGGTAGGTTTTAAGAAAGCTAGAAGCGTCAGAAGTACACAAAAGACCATTACATTGTGGTATAAGCCTTATTGATAGTTAGATATACATTATTTTGTAATAGTTGGTGAAGTTTTAATAGTGCAAATGGAATCGTTTCTGTAGTTTCCTCTATTTCTTAACTTTTAATATCTCGTTTTGGATATCACATTTCTTACTCCATCAATTCTTTCTTCCTTTTCAAACTAATCTCAATATATGTGATATGTGATATCCAGTAGTGATTTTTCATCCTATTAAAGATTCATCAATTAGATACACTTGCATCTCAGTGTTTGTGTCCACATTATGACCTGACTTTAGTACTTTTCACTTAAAAGACCAACACACATTATCTACTGAGTTAGTGAACTTAATCGACATTTTTAACCTATTTTACTATAATTGAGACTTCTATTATTATTATTATTATTATTTCAATTCTTTTGCCGTTCGTCTTGTTAATTTCATACCATTTTGGCAGTGTTCAGTAAGAACATTTCAAACCAGTGCATACTTGTGCCAAGTTGTAAGTTGTTTCGAGTCTGATAGATTGACTCATACTTGTTATCCTTTAAGAATTATCATTTAGAGATGATCATCATGGCTTGACTTACAATTTGAAATTAACTTGATCTAAGGGGAATTCATGAACTCCAATGATATTTTATATTAATGGATGAATTATAAAACGATGACATGTTAAACATTTATCGTTGTTTGTCTACTCAAATCTGATCTTAATGCAACTTACCCTCTTCCTTTCTCTTTCTCTCTTTCTATTTGTGTCTCTCTTAATTTTAGACAGACCATCTTGATATAAAATGAAACGTAATTATGTATTAAACAACACATTCTGTATGTAAACAATTATGTTTTGCATAAAATGAATAGTCTACTGTTTATCAGTTATACAATTGTGACATCATATTATATGTATATAAACTTGACTACTGCCACTTAGAATAAAGTGTATTGTTTACAAAATGTGACAGGAATTATGATGCAATACATAGTTAGTTATATGAAATGAATGATAAACAACTGTGTAGAGAATATTTCTCTCTAAATTACTGAATTATTTATTAATTGTATTTGTAAGGGGCTGGAATTGAAGGGTCATTTATCGTTACGGTAGTAGTGATAATAATAATAATCATAGTAATCATAATAATAATATCGATGGAATGTATGCACAGTTTACTTAACTAGTGTCAAATGAAAAGATACCCATAAATAAATAGTGCAAATAGGGCAACTAAATTGTTGTTAGTAAATACTTTCGGTATTAATAATAATAATAATAATAATAATAATAATAATAATAATAATAATAATAATGATAATAATAATAATACCATATTTATCAGAAGAGGTTTGTGGAGACTTTAGAAATTTCACAGATTGAAATCATGAGTCAATTGAAGTTAGACCACCATGGAAAACCTGTAAGCACTGGACGGCCGTTTCGTCCTAGTATGGGACTCCTTGGCAGTGCAGTGCGCTTCCACGATTCCGCACCCGCGAGATTCCAACCCAGGACATATCGGTCTCGCGCCAGTCTAGCTTCAATTGACTCATGACTTCAATATGTGAAATTTCTAAAATCTCCACAAACTCCTTCTGACAATAATCATCTGCTCACTAGTGACTGACTTCAAGAGATACTCCTGGAGTTCTAGTGAGAAGTCGTTACGAGTAGTGGAGTTCAAAAAGGTCTGTTGTGAGATAGGAACTCACTGAAGACAATGATGTACAGTGGTGGATTAGTTGAAGTTAGACGTTAACACCATTGGATGCCGGCCAACTCAATGGTCTGGTTGGCTAAGCGCCTGGTGCGAGACTGATAGTTCCTGGTTTCGAATCCCGCGGGGTGCGAGATCGTGGATGCGCACTGCCAAGGAGTCCCATACTAAAACGAAACGGCCGTCCAGTGCTTCCAGGTTTTCCATGGTGGTCTAGCTTCAATTGGCTCATGATTTCAATCTGTGAAATACCATATTTGTTTTATCCGTTATTGATAAATTGATGTACACATAGCTTAGTTAAATGTTTTATGTAAATGAATTCAGTTGAAAAATTATTTTCATCATGATTGATATCAATTAGAAAGTTATTGAATATCGGGGAGGTGTTTTCAATGAATTAGTCGGAGGGAATCAGTAAAAAACCCTAGACCTATGTTTTATGCTAGTTAACACATGTTAACAAAGTCTACCTGTAAACTCCTGTGGACTGTTGGTCCTTGTATGGTTCGGATCTTCTTCACACACTTTCACATTCTAAGAAATTATCATTGAGACTTTCAATCCATGACTGAAATACTGTATGACTGAGTTATTTATAGTGATTGATCATCGTATAAAGTGATCACTGACATATCTAGCTGGATATTGAGTATACCCTTATTAAATGTTGTGGAAATTGTATTGTAATAAGACTATAGCTCTCAGTTCAACTGTCTTTGAAGGGATAAACAAAAGCACCTCCATAAATTAGAGAGTATTCAGCATTTCTCCCCATGTTATTATTGCTGTACTTCATCAGTTTTTCTCTTTCATACACACACTCACACATACATGGAATTTCATTTTATAACTTTAAATTATATGATGAATATATGTTGATGTTGAGTTATGGCTACTTAGGAATTCAATAATAATCTCACTGTTTGAACAAGAGTGATATCATAAACCCTTTAGTTTAATTTATATGTTATGTAA